TTTAGTAGCTGTAATTTGAAGGATACCTGTGAGTTAATCAGATGAGGGGGTACCTACAAATATACAAGGACCCTTTGTTGAAAGAGAGCAAGTCTTTTTCAACAACAAAACACCAGTGTGACTCTAGTAGAGAGACTGAGAGGGATCGTGGTGCATGATGAATTTGGAGAGGCAGGCAGGGTGTGGTGGGCTTGATCAAAGAATCTGATCTGTATTCTAAGAGTAATAGGAAGCTATTGTAGTATGTTAAGTAGAAGAGCAACATGATCAGAATTGCATTTCCTGCCTCTATTCTGGCCCAAACTTATTTAATTTCTATTAGCAGAATAAGTTTATGAAAATATTAAATTGTGCCCATTTATCCTATTCTTTCTGTTCTTCATATTTTCAAAAAGATAGCCAGATTTTGTAATTGGAAAGGAAAGATGGGGGAGAAAAAAGTCGTATCTACTTCCTGACTTAGGTAAAGCCTGAATCTATTTCAAAAGGTTGTGCTAAGTGCTCTGAAAAGAAGAGAAGCATAAAAGTACCTGTGAGAAGTAGATCAGAGAAGGGAGAGTCCATAGACTAGGGAGTGTTGAAGAAAAAGTCTATTTGGGGAGTCAAGCTCCCATATTCCAGGTTATACTACAGCACACAGCAGAAGCAGAAACACTCCAGAGAGTAAGGACTGCCTCATGTGTCTAAACAGATGGGCCCATAAGCACTCCTCATAAAGATTTCCCATGTTTTAAAAGAAATCTGGAAGCAGCAGGGAGCCTAGACCTGAAGGAACTTTGTGAGCAGAGTCAGTGAAGATCTAGAAGTAACCAAAGTAGACAAATGACTCAACAACTAGGAGCTCTTGCCTCCTTGGCCCTATATTAAACCCTTGAACCCTAGCCCATCTTGAAGCAGAACAGGGAAACTCAAGAATAATTGAGGTTAAATTTTCCACAGCTTGGGGCAGGGGGTAAAATTCTCAAAGTTGAAGCCAGATTGATTTATAAACATAAATTTATATGTAATTTCTTGCATATTTGAGAGTGTGGTCCAAGATTTATTTCCACTACATTCCCACAGCTGTCATCACACTGCAGATTTATCTTCATCTTTTCTTCTGTCAGTCCTATTCCATAAATTTAGCCTCAATTTTGGATCATGCCATACAACCAATAGTACTTACTTCCTTGATTCATCCGCTAAACAAATATTTATCAAATAGCTACTTGGTGCCAGATGTTGTCCTAGATTTTTGGAAATACAATGGTGAATATACTGGAAGTGATCTCTGCCCTTACAAAGTATGCATTCCAGTGAAAGAACAAACATAAACACGTAAATCTGTGGTATGAGTAGGCAGTTGGGGTGGGGTGGCAATATTAGGATACAAAGGAGGTGTTCAAGGAGATGGGGGTATAGAGGTAAAAGGGTAGGGGAACCTACTTTAAATAGGAAAGGCCTATCTGAGGAGGCAAATTCTCAGCTTCCAGGAACAGAAATGACTTGGTATGTTCCAAGAACTGAAAGAAGGCCAATGTGAATGGAGTACATGAGCAATAGAAAGAGTAGTGAGAGATATATGAAACTAAAAAT